TTTCCAGCATTCGTACGCAGGATGGGTGATCATGATAATAATCTGACATAATCATACTCTTTCAGTTTGTTCACACTGTTTAATCCATGAATCCGGATGAACAAGTTTTTGATATGTTTTTGAGAAGTTTGTGACTTTATTTTTTACATATTAGTCAATACCATACTCATTCTTATTTATTTGGTTCCTAAATGGAATGATCCATTTGATCAATTGTGGTAGGGCCACTCAAGTCTCCCCAGTTGCACGAATACCACGACCTCAAAGAAGAACGACGTTAAGCGGAGCTGTTATAAAATAAATAAAAAAGATGTTTATTTGATTAAGTTTTTTCTACAATTCAAGTGTGGACTTCCCCTATTATGTACAGAAGCACCTGTGTCAGAGGAAACCTGTTATACTTCTGCGTTCGTTCTGGTGAGTGCGATCGCCGGGGCCCATATTATTAAAAGTTGGTAACGCATCTGCAACGCTTCGGGTGTTGCAAATGTCAATGGGCGACGGTTATCATTTAACATCAAAAAAAACTTATAAAATAAATTGTATAAAAAATAAAACCAGGGACATTCTAAAGTGGAGACTGCGATTTAGAATATACAAAATGGCGTCTCCCATCTTAGTTGAGGCCAGAAGCAGAACTGCGAAATATATCACATTTGAATCTTAATCTTTTGTACAACTACCACATTGGCTATTGTCCCAGTGTATGTAAACGTAAGATGAATGTAAAAATCTCATACAGGGAATTTTTAAAAGGATATATTATTATCCTCGATATCAAATCCAGTTACTGCTCCCTGTCACAAATATTAAATATTGCACATGGTCAGTGTTGGAATGAGACAACCGGCTAATTTTTGTTTCGTAGAGCGATCAGAGGGTTCTGTCGCGCGCACTTGTATAGCGACTGCCAAACTTCAACTAGGTATTGTGGCAACGGAGAAAGTATTTATTGCTGATTGCTATACTTATTCTTTTGCCAATTTTTGCCTCGAAAATGATCTTACAGCAGTGATAGTTGTAACATGACAGGCTCGTCGCTTATTCGAAAAAATATAAAAAAATTAAATTAAATAAAGTAATGATTAGCTTTTTTATGTGATAAGATGCCAAGCGAACTGGCGTTTAACCTGATGTTATGTGATAAGCGGTGTCCATCGACAACTGCGACACGCGTAGGGTTACAAATGCTTTGCCATCTCTTAATAAAATGGTTAGTTTACTTACGTAAAAGTATAATACTTCCCCTTCATGACAGTCCTCTGCAAGGTCGTATTTCCCTGGACGAGTTTGCCCATTCGTGCAACATCAAAGAATGCTACGTGGCTCTACCGCAGTCGAAAAAAAATCAAAATCATTTATTCATCGACATCAAGAAAGATACATTTAATACATCGATAGTCATCATTTTTTTTAATTTAACACCGTTTCGTAATGAGGTCATCTAACGGAGAAGAAACAGGTGAAAGAAACTCCGTGGATATCCTCTTTTTTGTCATTTTTTCTTAACAAAATTACAATATTATACAACTGTTTTTTTTTTAAATATTTTTATTGTCATTTATTTATATTACAATAACGCTTTTTATAAAGTGTCTCTTTAATAAATTTCTTAAACCTGTTGAGAGGCAGACTTTGCGCAGTCCAGATCTTATTTTATGTTTTAATATTTTACTTAAAAACTTATTGTTGTATTTTAAAGATAGTTAAGATGTGAAGATTCTTTAGAACTTAACTTATAAAAATCCCACAGCATAGAAGAAGTTTCTTATTTACAGGAACTCTTTAAAAACTTTAATAACGCTTTATTGCAGTTAAAAGTTTCGCAGTTGTTGTAGTGATCAGTTTCTAACTTTGGGTAGGTAGTTTGTATAAAATAAGGGGGTATCAAATTATATACGGGTTAGTATAGTATTATTATAGACTGTTACGTTATTATTTTCTACAGACTTCAAAAAGGACGAGGTTTCTGCATTCCTTAGTATGTTTTTTTGTATTTTTTTTTACCTCAGAACTCCGTTAATTATGGACTTATGATGCTTACGGAATACGGTGCTGGGAGAGTTGTCTCTGTAAACCTTGGACTCGCCTTGGAACCTATATTAAAAAAGGTTCTCACCAATGAGCCGCGTCCTCAGCTTCTTCGTATACATTAGGCAATTGCCATGCCACCGTTGGAGCACCTCTATCTCTCTTTAATCATTTAAAATGCACAAGTGTCAAAGAAATCTATATTTCGGAGTTTTGCCGTCTAACGACCGGTTTCAATATTCGATCTACAGATAGATTTGGCTACTGGAGATAGAATTTTCACGTAATCATTATGGAGCTAATGTCAAATAACTATCGCCAGTCACAAAATCTATCTGTAGATAGAATATTGAAACAAGCCGTAAGGTTATTTTTTAAGAAAAAAAATTTTCTTGCACGGCGGTTCTTAGTTCTATTTTAATTTATGACTTGTTCTATTAATAAATGAGGTAATTGCTTATCATAAGGTGAACCGCACGTATGTCTTCTGTGACTCGGACATATTATCTCACAAAATAACGGAATCCGTAATCAAAAGAACTCTTGCCGAATAAAGCGTTATTACGAGATGATTCTCTGCCAAGTTCGTGTCGTATTTACATCGTATAAAGTTTCGTAGTAGCCTGTATGGAGACATTTATTTTCCTAGCAAAATGAACGATTGTTGCTTTACTGTTCTTTGTTCAAGAGTAATACACATACAAAAAGTTTAAGCAAATATTATCAAGGTAGCGTCAAAATATCCTGGTAAATGCATACTGATCCTATCCTGATAAATCCCGATAAATGCTGTACTTTGCCGGACTTAAAAAAAACTTTCTGAAGCGGCGGTGGCAAGCGAGATAGCGAGGTGGTAGGAGATAGGTGGTAGGTGGTAGGTGGTAGCTGGTAGGAGGTAGGTGGTATTTATGGCCTAATGCTGTACCAATAGAGTCGCAGATAGGTTGTTAATGTATAAGAGGGTGGCCACTTGTTTACTAAATTACCAGACGTATTTACATTATAAATATTTTTAATACTGATCCATCTTTTATGCATTTAGTTGCGGCTCAGCTCTACCATCGAAAGACAATCAACAATGTACAACATGGGTAATTTCTGTACAGACATTAGATCAAAAAGTTCTTCTTACCTCTATAGTGAAAAGAACAATAAATATTAATATTGTGTTAAGTCTATGACTACTTCTGTAATTGTCATTATTTGAAATCACTAACATATCTGATTGACTCGGATGACGGTGATAAGCTAATCACCTATTACTTTCAAAACTAAAATTAGGTGAGAAGTTGCTTCATCAATTTTCGTCTGTCCTTTGTTACAATAAGTTTAAGCTTTTAATGCAATACTCACTTCTCACAAAATAAAATCGGCTGCATGTAATTAAAATAAAAGTTAGGTAACTCGATACGAGCTAACCTTTAGTATACAATTACAATTCCATGACGATGTAAGCAGCTTACCTGTAACGTGCACGCTAGCTAAAAAGCACCTTGCTCCCCTGGGTTAAGGTCGCCTTTTCAATGTTTGCCCATGTGGTAAAGCTCAAAACTGATAGCTAAGCGCGCTCCAGTTCAATCTCCGTGTAAAATCGATTCAGTACCTGTAATGAGATTAGTCGATGATTTCTTTGGCGGCGCGAGTAATTGACTTTTAACAAGATGTTTGACTAAGATTTGAGTCAGACATCTGAATTGTGTTGTCGAGAGAGTCTTGTACGATCCGCATTAAAGGTAAATAAATTTATCCTGCACAGTTCAAATGGGATTAAGGAAGCTGTTAGGTTAACCGTTTGCTAAATGGGCGGGGGAACGGCGTGTTTAGAAATAAGCGGGCTCGTAGGCCCCGTTCTAGCCTTTCCACTTCCTCAAGACAAAAGCCTTTAAAACTCTTTAGAGCGATGCGAAAAACACACAAAAGGTCACCGCGGCCCGCGCGCGTGCGAGATGGACGGCGCTCTAGTAGAAGTTCTATGCTAGAGCGGGACGGATAGTTGAAAATCAATTTATTAGACGGTGACGTCACGTGGCGCGCATGCGCCGTGAAATGCTCATAGGCAGGGTTGTCAGTGTGTTGGTAAAACTCCAGGCCGGGGGAAAAATTGAACTTGTGGCCCTGAATTCGTCATCGAAGACACTTTTGTGTTCTGTAATTTTTGTGTCTTGTTTAATATTATTTTATTAACCGACTTCAAAAAAGGAGGAGTTTTCTCAATTCGACCATATATATTTTTATCTTTTTTATGTGTGTTCGGGGATAAGTTCGTCATTTATGAACCGATTTTAATGATTCTTTTTTTGTTGGAAAAGAGATATACTAAGGGTGGTACCATGATAAGGAAACCCAGATCTGATGATGGCATCCCAGAGAAATCGAGGGCAATCCACAAATGTTATAGGCGTTGAAAATGTTTTTTTAGTTTTCTTTTTAAAGTCGGTTTCTTTTGTTTAAAATTATATAACTTAAAGTTTGAGCTATTGGATTACTTTAATTTAATACAATTAGAAGAAATCGTTGATGTATAACACAAGCGTTGAAATGATGTTAACAATATCAATGTCGTGGCTCCTAAGGGCAGCCTCTTAAACCTTTACATAAAGAAGTCGATGTTCTTGATTTTATGCGAATATTATACTTATTGAATGGAACTAGTTTACGGATTTTATCGCATTTTTATTTTGATATTTTAATTCCCGACGGTGAAAAGGGTTCGAAACTTCGGGAATTACAAAATCGTAATAAAAATGCGATAAAATCCGTTATCTAGATTCATTTAATAAGCATGAATTTTAATCCGTTATATTTAACTTTTAAACGACTGATTATTAACATAAACAATTTAGTAGCTTTCACTTACCGCGAGGCCGATCTGAGCGTGGCAACACCGCGCGCATCTGGGCGGGCGGCCCGAAATAGCGGCGCGCGGGGGGCGGCCGTCAGTAGAGCGGCGTCGCTGCCGCCGTACAGCCATGGCGTCGGTCGCCGCTTGGCTGCCGTTCGCCCGCGCCGCCGCCATCGGGTGGGTGCCCATCGCCACGCACCCGCTGCCACCACCGCCGGTGCCAAAAGACAGACGCCGCGCGGAGGACGAGAAGCTCCTCATAAACGTGTCGGGCCGCCGCTTCGAGACCTGGCGCAACACGCTCGAGAAGTACCCCGACTCGCTCCTCGGCTCCTCCGAGCGCGAGTTCTTCTACGATGAGGACAGCCGCGAGTACTTCTTCGACAGGGACCCGGACATATTCCGGCACATACTCAACTACTACCGCACCGGTAAGCTGCACTACCCCAAGCACGAGTGCCTCACCGGGTACGACGAGGAGCTCGCCTTCTTCGGGATACTGCCGGACGTGATCGGCGACTGCTGCTACGAGGACTACAGGGACAGGAAGAGGGAGAATGCCGAGAGGCTGATGGACGACAAGCTGAGCGAGGCGGGCGACCAGAGTCTCCCGCAGCTGACGGACCTGAGACAGAAGATGTGGCGCGCGTTCGAGAACCCGCACACGTCCACCGCCGCGCTCGTGTTCTACTACGTGACGGGGTTCTTTATCGCCGTGTCGGTTATGGCAAACGTTGTGGAGACAGTGCCCTGTGGCCACAGGCCCGGGCGGGCGGGCACCCTGCCCTGCGGGGAGCGCTACAAAATAGTCTTCTTCTGCCTGGACACCGCCTGCGTGATGATATTCACAGCCGAGTACCTGCTGCGGCTATTCGCGGCGCCCGACCGCTGCAAGTTCGTGAGGTCTGTCATGTCCATAATCGACGTGGTCGCCATCCTGCCGTACTACATCGGGCTCGGCATCACAGACAACGACGACGTCTCCGGCGCCTTCGTCACCCTGCGCGTGTTCAGGGTGTTCCGCATATTCAAGTTCTCGCGGCACTCGCAGGGTCTGCGCATTCTCGGGTACACGCTAAAGTCGTGCGCCAGCGAGCTCGGCTTCCTCGTGTTCTCGCTGGCGATGGCCATCATAATCTTCGCCACGGTGATGTTCTACGCGGAGAAGAACGAGCAGGACACGAACTTCACATCCATTCCCGCCGCCTTCTGGTACACCATCGTGACAATGACCACGCTCGGGTAAGTAACTTTATCTTATCACTACATCGTTGTCAGGGTGCTACTCTTCAACAGAAAATTCGTGAAGTGAATAAATCATTCATGCGGCTTATCCATACTATTAAAACCATATACCAATGGGTAACCATATAAATAAAAACGCGATTGATAAATCCCACGAGTGTAGTTTATCTAACGTTTTCAATCATCGCGCATTATCGATGAGGGCCCAGCGATTTTCACGATGAGCGTAGCATAAAGTTGACACCTGTCGCCGCCATTAAAAATTGACGCGGGAAAATAGGTGTCATGGCGTCGAAGATTCCCGTCCATAAAAGGTTTACGCTCTGAAATGTTGATGTTGCAACGCTGCTTTTAATTCCCCTTTCATTTGCGGGGGAGACGAGTGGTGCTCGTAAAGTAATTTACGGAGCGTTTGTTCTGTAAGGGGAGGGAATTTCGACTCGTTTACATCGAGGGAGTGTTCGTAAGCATCGCTGTTATTAAAACGGTGAGCTCAATTAACTTTAATACTAAATATTGCGTATTTACAAATCACCATTGAAATAAGGCATTCAATAATTATATGCACGGAAGAATTTGACTATATGAATTTGCAAATGATTAAAAAGCGGTTAAAATACAAGAATATATAACGAGTTAATAAAGCTTATTTATATGGGAATGTAATGTTAATAATGTATAGTTTTATTGCATTCCGAATGAAATTACATAAAAAAGGCAACGACTCAACTTCAACTTAATTTAATCTTGTCTTTAATGTTTGTCACTTTTATTTAGAACTAGCTATTGCTCGCGATGGCATCTCCGTGGATTTCTCCGTGGACTAACGGAATTAACGTTAAACTTAAAAGTCTTAAGTTCATAACGATTTCTTATATTCTTCTTGTGTTGAGAATCTTGAAAGATTGAGTAATGTATATTAATTACTACTTTTGTTTATGTGAAAAGTTGCCAAACGAGCAGATGGTTTACCTGATGTTAAGTGAATACTGCCACCCATGGACATCTGCCTCAGCCGAGGGTATGCAGATGCGTGGACAACCTTTTTGGAAATTGGGCTCCGGCTACCTCATTCACTAGACGGAAGGCGAAAGTATTATACTTCCACTTTACGCCGGTCTTCTGTGAGGTCGTGGTACTTACTCGGACGAGCCTGCCCATTCGTGCAACAGCCGAGGCTGCTGCGTGGCCCTACCACCGTAAAGACATATACACGAAAAATTTTGTTATATTCATTTCAATTTAACGCTGTAGTTTAGAAAACGCTAAAAATCTTCCAGATGCTAAGAAAAATATCTATAATAATTAATTAATTATTAGGCATATAATAAATACACGTTTGTACTTAAATTCAGGCATTTATTTTCATATTCGGTGGTAAAACCGAATTTATTATAAGCAGCAAATGACGTTTAACGAGTTCTTGTATTGACAGCGCTTTTAAAAACATATTTAAGTATTATTATATGTATTTGCATGTGGAAAAATTAAATGGACTATTAGGCCTAACCTTAAAATAAAAGCAAACTTACCGCACGAGACGAGTTTTTGGGGATTTCTCTTTAGTTTCTAAAGACAAAGTTTTTTTCTCCTCACATGTTTGTAACAAGCGGCTGTGGTTTGTTATTTCTTACATCTTTCCGTGACGTGCATTCCCGAGATTGATTTCGCTACACATTCAAGGCAATCGGGCTCCCTATATTTTTGAGATCATGGGCTTTTTTTTAGAGTCGGTGAGAATTTACCTTTTTTTATGTGAAAAGTTGCTAAACGAGCAAACGGTTCACTTGATGCTAAGTGTATACCGCCGCCCATGGACATCCGCTACACCCGAGGGTTCCAGATGCGTTGACAACCTTTTGAAAAATTGGGCTCCGGCCTCCTCACTCACAAAACGAAACGCGAAAGTATTGTACTTCCACTTTAGGACGGTGGTACTTACCCGGACGAGCCTGCCCACTCGTGCAACATACGAGGCTGCGGCGTGGCTCTACCACCGTAAAATTCTTTTAGACACTTTATGCACCGTAAAATACCTATACAGCAATTTCTCAGTAACTTGACTTTGGTCGGTTTTATTATAAGAATCGCTTACGTTTTGTTATGATCGTGATTCCTTGTGCAGAGGAGGCGAAAGTAGCTGCGGTCATTCAGCCGTGAATTAAATTTCATTGGTTTATTTGCTTCGCATGGAAAATTTTCATGCAAACCAAATTAACTAATGGATGTGGTATTTTGTCTCTCTTTTTGTATTGCTTTCTTCGCGCACAGTGACGGTTTATTGACGCGTTATTGACGCGGGTTTATTGACGTTTCTTTACAGTCGTGAAATAGTCGGGTTTTGAATTTTAATACACGCGCGTGCATGTTTTGTTTGTGAATCTAAATTTAAGAATCTATTAAAAGGCTGATTGGAAATAGGACAACTCGGCTTTGTTGTGTATTAAAGAAAAACGAGATTTATTTCACCTTTATTCTATGAATTTCAAAATACAGTTAACTATGGAATTGGACGATTAAAACTCTTCCGCGTCCCTAGATGATTTTGTTATTCGCAATCCAAATAACTCATATAGACGTATACCTTTATGGTGATTATCACTACATACGTCTTCAATAAGGAAACGCTGTAGGTAAATGTCTGAACATATTTAAATACACGCTATGCTTGCGTCTAGTGAAAAGGTACTTTTTTCCGCGAAAAATAGTGCGTTCATTGGAGAGAACACATCATCTTTGCCCAAAATTTTTCGTGAATTTTATTATGATTCAATTTTGTAGGGTCAATAGGATTGGAACGGTCGATTCAAATTTAACTTTCATAACATGTTTTATGATTGTTGTCTTATGGGAGTTTAATAAATTTTCACACGTTTTGCATAATTTTTATTCTGTTTTCAGAAAATTATTAAGTTGAGCTGTAATATGTTCATAGCATGGCAAATAATCGAACATTAATCACTTAGAAGTAAATCACCTCGCTCCCTGGCTTTTTATTACAAAACATTAATATTAGCAATAATGTTATGCGTGTTACCAGAACCTATCATACAGTTAATAGCTAATATTATTCCAGTTGTGTAAGGTAAGATAATGGTAATATTATCACGTCGTAATCAACACTTATAAATGTTAAGTGTGCCTTTAATGCCTTGTCTAAACACCTTTAGTACTCGTAAAGATGCCAGTTTTTAAAATAATCTGAACAAGTCGGTTATGATTATTTTAAAAACTCAATAGTTTTGCGACAAAAACGATTGATGAGTGTTTGTCCGTCTGTTACCAGGCTGTATCTCATGAACTGTGATAGTTAGACTTTTTTTCACATATGATGTATTTCTGTGCCTGCTATAACAACAAATACTAAAAAAACAGAATAATTTCTTTTTTAAGTGGGGCTCCCAAACTACAGACATAATTTTTTTGGCTGTTTCCATAGATAGCGGTATGGAACCCTTCGTGCGCGATTACGACTCGCACTTGGCCGGTTTTTAAAAATTAAACTAAACTAAGCCAATACATACATTAAGAATGTTCTGAACTTTCGAACATCGCTCGCCGCAGATTTAATCTACGATTAAACATCAGAAGTTAAAGCCGGCGGCACAGCGGGCGCTGTTTATCGCGAAATCTCCGCTTCAGTGGCTTCGCGAGAGTTCCCAGGCGCACGTTTACTTGGAAACTTTTCCGTCGCTAACTTTCGCAGCCGGTTGGAGTTAAGTAGAACTGAAGTTAGCGGCGTAAGCTATGAACAAAGGGCGCTGCAAAACTGCTTATTTATGGGGGCTTAGCTGTCCCAACTATTAAGGCGTTTCAAAGCTTCGTTAGACTGTTACCGGGGGTGACTCCGCCGATCTGCCCAGTTTCGTAGGCATAGAATTTTCAGCAACCCAGTGTTCTATAAGACTAATCAATTTAGAATTTTGTTCATAGGAATTGCTTGACCGTAATCTCTGAAATGTATTGTACAAGGATCCTGCCCTCAGGTCCCCTTTCTGTTTTTTTACAAATTGAGTTTATCTGAAGTTAAAAGAGTATCCAGGCACCGGCCAACAACAAAGACACTTATATTATAAGAACTAGTGTGTTTTTAAGACGCGCTCCGTTTATACACTGGTAGACCATAACTACTATAACAGAAGAAAGTAATACATGTCCCACTGTGTAACGTGTGATTTCATCACTTTGTCGAAATTGTTGTTTTTCTAAAGACTAGGCTGCATGTCATATGAACCTTTGCCTTTTCGAAAGGTCGAATCAAAAAGTTGAGTTCATTTGGGGTACTTGTCATTTGAGATTGCCGCCGGTTCGAATTGACATTGGATAAATTAGTTTTTGTGAATCTATTATCTTCGACTGTGCATGGCTAGAGGTTGAAATCAGAACACGTTCCTGGTCGTATTATTTGTGATTGCTGTCTGGGATAAGCTTTGCTGGATTTGTTCTCCCCTCGTGGTGGATGCTGAAGGCATAGGTGGCTGGCAAGCTGGTCTGAGCTGCTGCTCGATTGAATGTTGTTTTTTTACCTCCAGTTGGAGGCCTCCTACATACCCCCAACAGTGTGGGCTGTACACACTACACTTGGCCTGACTTTCTCTACTGGTTCTGAGCTCAACGCTGACCTGTGCACACAGGGCAGGTGTCTCTGCGGTGACATGGATTTTAAATAACTACCTGATTGGACTTAGTTTTTTAAATTGAATTGCATAAGTTTTACCATTTCAAATTAATTTAATTATTTAACCTTTTATGGTCGCACAAAGTAATGTGTAGGTCCTATATACTCACGACTCCCTGCGATACTTAATTGTGATTATTACAACAGTCTGTTCCTAACCGACAAGGCGCCCAAACTTATTATTATTATTATATTACAAAATATATTGTATCTGAGCTAGTCCAGGGATTGTAACTTTAAATTGAAGGGATAAATACAAATTCTTAACCGCTAATAAATCTTTTATTAAATCTTCCCATCATATATACACCATCCAAATA